GTAATTCATCTGTCTGTATGTATTCTATCAATACTGTGGTCCTAGCGCACAAAAAGCAACTGAAGTATCCACAAGCACTATACCAACTCTCCCTTTAAACGGCTCAGCCAGCCAGGCCACTCTCCTCTCACCTCCACAAGTGGGAGATGCATACTCACGCAATTAATGTAATAACTTATAAATATGAACTAGAAGGGCTGCAGGAAGTGATCAGATTTGCACCACTCATCTTAGTGAGATGGAACCCAGAGAGACCCATCCCTGCTGACACTAGCCACTCTTACCAGTGTAGTCTACCATCACACAAGCAATCCACAGTAGAACACTGCAGACAGCAGGGCATTTGGAGGCTACTCAGCCCTAAGTCCCCAGAACAGGAACTAAGGCTGGGAAGAAGGTCAGTGCAGCGTACTCAGCGAATGGATAAACAGAATCATCATTTCACAAGGCTGCAAGCCCAGTTCTAGTCAGAATATGCCAAATTGCTGCCTTAGGTAATTCCCGTCAAGAGATCTTAGCTATTTGGACTATTTTCAAATAATCACAAAAGATTCCATTTTCCTCTTTTAGAAGAAGAATCTTCAATGGCTTACTGGAAATAGGTGCCAGGGCCAGCACGAAGGCACTTGTGGCCAAGCCTGATCATCCAAGCTTGATGCCCAGGACCCACACGGGGGGGGGGGGGGGGGGGGGGGGGGGGGGGGGGGGGGGGGGGACAAACTCCCACAAGTGTCCTCTGACTTGTGTCCACAAACATAAAAAATAAAAAGGGGGAGGGAGGGTACATGTTGGCAATGAAGGCACTTTTGGAAAGTTAGTGCATACAGAAAATTTTCCCAATTTAGGTATTACTTAAGTAAGCTTACCACAAGATGTCTGCCCTGTAGTTCCCTCCCGATTACAAAGAATGAAACTGTTTCCTCAAAAAAAAAAAAAAAAAAAAAAAAAAAAAAAAAAAAAAGCTATCCCAGCACTCCGGAAACAGAAACAAACTCGAGTTTGAGGCCAGCTTGGTCTACAGTTCCAGGACAGCCAGGGCACAGAGAAACCCTCTCTCAAAAAATAACAAAATTACAAGATTGTAACCACACTACATTTTTGAACTCTTGATAATTGAAGACATTCAGGTTTCTACCTACAAAACTGTTCTCACTTAACTGCTCAACATAATGCCCAAACAGCATAATTTTAAAGTGTGTGTGCTTGCTACTATTCTACTAGGCAGTCTATGCAGACCAATATCCTGGATCCTCTAGCTTAAGCTTCCTGAGTAGTATGCTAGGGTTGCAGGTATGGTTAGCCACATTCAGCAACAGTAAGACCAATCAGCAATCCATTTCTAGGTGAAGTGGAATTCTGGCCCACAATGTTTTGTGAGGGCTGTAGCAAAAGAACCTCAGGTTCCCCAAATACAAACCTAGCATACACATCACTCACAAATAGAGTGAACACAGCTGTACTGTTGACATGCTAAATTAAATGCAGAGAACTTGTTAAAGTTCCTCATAATATCTGGAAAAGGTCTCCAATGCTCAACAATCCAAGTTTAATGTAGTATTAAACCTTCACAACCCATCAACCATACATTTAAACCCTTGCAATAAACTGGCAAACTTCACCCTTCTCATCACATCATTTTAGAAAGCTAGTTTAACCTCAGGATTGCTTCTCAACTAAGGGTAAATTTGCTCAGTGCCAAAGGACATCTGACAATGCTGACAGATAGACAGGTGACTACTGTCATCTCTAGCCATCTACTATGGAAAAGACAGGCTCCCAAAACACAATTTCACTAGTGCTTAGGTTTCATAGAAAGCCCGACTTATAAGCACTAGATCACAGTAAGTCAAACCCAGAAAAATTCTCTAAAAGCTGGCAGACTTCTTTCTGCAGCCAAAACCTGAACACCATAACCGGCTGAAGTATACACAAATGGGACACTAAGACACCATGTGCAAGTTGCTGATCCAGAACTAAGGCGTGGGCAGCTTTGAGAAGCCACACTTCCTGAGTCATATGACTACAGTGTGAAACTTGACTGCACAAAATTGATAAATTTAGACTTGCTACGGTACTGATCAAAGTTCAAGACTGTCTATAACTAACAATCACAGTTAATTGAAGTATCTATAGAGAAACAGCAGCAGCAGTTAAACTTACAAATTTGTCACTACGTACATCTAAGCAAATGTCCTTCATTAAGTACGTTAGTGCAAGTTCCAGTCAAAATTGTTATAGGCACTAAGGATTGGCTTCAGGGCATTGCTCATGTTAGACGAACAAGCTACCACTGCTACATTCCCAGCCCTCTCTAACAAGGAGAATCCCTAGTTAAAAATGGCAGCAGAATACAAAGTGCTAAAATAGGCTCAACTTTCAATCTCATTTCAGAGTTTTCCTTTTTTGGGACAGATCTCCATACAGCCCCACTATCTACCAGGCTGGTCTCCAGAGATCCTCCTGCCTCTGCCTCCCAAATGCTGGAATTAAAGGCATGGGATCCCACACCCTTTCAGAGTTTTCTTCTTCGGAGGCAATGGGTCACTATCTAGTCCAGGCTGGCCTTGAGGGAGCCTTCTGCCTTAGCAAAATGGAATTACAGGCCATCTAGTCAAAATTGAATACCCAGGGACAATCACAACACCCCAACACAATGCTGCTGCACTTGATTTACCCTAATTTAGACGGATCCCACCAATACACACAATGAATCTACTATGATGTCAAATACTTAATGACTTTCTGTAACTGGAAGCCTGACAAGAAAGGTGTGCCAGGTGGTGGTGGTGCACACCTTTAATCCCAGCACTCAGGTGACAGAGGCAGGTGGACTTCTGAGTTCGAGGACACCTTGGTCCACAGAGCGAGTTCCAGGACAGGCTCCAAAGCTACAGAGAAACCTTGTCTCCAAAAACAAAAAAGCTAAGTAATTAGAGTACTTAAAATTGTAAAATATATTAGTTGACAAAATTTGCCCAACTTGGACTCCAGTTCCATCTTGACACTTGCCAAATTTCCTTCAGATAACTCCTGCCATCTAGACCAGATCTGCCACTGCCTAGTACGGTTCAGGCGACAAAAATGAAACCACGTGCTAAAAGCAGTAATTTATCTCAGTATTTCTCTAACTCAAAACGAGAAGGAAGCAAAAGCTGTGTAATTTCCTCCACTGTAGGTATGTGCTTGGCTTGCACTCACTAAACCCTTAATCTCCAGTTTTGCTGGATCAGGGTGATGGTGAACGCACTTTTAAAATCTATTAGCAATTAATATACGTCATTTTACATAGCTGATTCTGCTCCAAGCTACAAGGAAACAGGTATCAGAAAACGAGAAAAAACAGCCATCAAAATCCCACCCAGCACCTGTTATAATAAATGATAGGAGAAAGAAAAGTTGCTAATTCTTCTAATGTAAAAGAAATAAAACATCACCTACCAAGCTCTATCTCAATACAGTACCCTTGTTCCAACAATACCGTTGTTGGGTCAATCCAACTGGTGCTCCAGACTGGCATTTACTTACTAGATGAAAGTTTGTCCATTCAAAGATACGTAAGAACTCCTAATATTTTTCTAGGATTCCTTTTAAGCTCATTTGTTGGGAAAACTATACTGACGATTCTGCACACAAAATCTTGACCCATAACCTATTTGCGCAATGAAAAATTCAAATTTAAAGAACCAATAAAAGTGGGATCTTTAACTGTCTATATAGTAATCTCCGTTTATGGCATCAGACCTCAGGCTATTTGCAGCCCGGGGCTTACATCAACACACAGGATTTACTAAAAATTACAACTCCCACAAGGACACAAATAGCTTTTTTAAGTTGCAAGAAAGATGCTACAGATTCTTGATGGAATTTTCCCACTTGCTTAAAGGAAAAGGCCCCGTTTTCTTAAAAGGGGGTAGGAATCGCCAGCGAACCTCCGATTCACTTTCCAATGACCAAGGAGTTAAGTTTTAGGAGCCTTTAAACGCGCTCCTAAGGTCTTCGGGCACCAGCCGCACTCGAATGACTGGCAGAGGCTCAACACCAAGAGCAGAAGAATCAGGGTCCTGTCCGTCTGGTTCTCCTTGGTCAGAGAATGAGGGTGCACTGAGACCCCACAGGGAAGCACTTATAAAGGGGCCGTTGGGAATGGGTGGAGGGGAGCTCCGGGTCTCGCAAGTGCTTGAAATCTTGCAGATTTCGCTTGCGAGGACCGCCCGAACCCGGGAGAAGGAACAGCCGGCCCCGGGAGGCCGGAGGGACCTCCGACTTTCGGTAGCGAAGCAGGGAGGATCTCACCTTGCTGCGGTCCTCATCCTGCTGCTCCAGCAACTCGGGAACCGCGGCCATGGCGACGCGGGCCTCGAGCAAGGGCTGTCTGGCTGTGCGAGGAAAGAAGAGGCTGGGCCGCCGCCGGGGCGCCTTTCAGGGGCGGCCGCGGCCCCGCCTCCGCCGGCCTCCCTGCCGGACGGCGGCTGGAGGCCGCCGGACTCCGCCACCATCCCAGCAGCCCCGGGCGCAGGCCAGCGGCACGCCACGTGCTTCCCCCAGAGCAGGCCTCCCCCGTCCCCGCTGCCGTCCATCTTGGAGCCGGGCAAAGAAGCAACGCGGGGCCTACCCTCGCTCCGCGCCACGCGGACACCAGCACCGCAAGGCCGGGACGGGGACGCGAGATCCGAGCCCCTCTCCCGGGGAAGGCGCGCCTCGAGAAAGGGCGCGAGCCACCGCCGGGGGGATTTATGGCCCGGCCAGAGTCCAAGATGGCGGCGGGCGGTGACGTGCGCAAGATCCCGCGAGAGCGGAGGCGCGAGGCCTGGAGGCGCCCAGGCCTCCGCTTCGGGGGAGGAGGAGCGCGTGAGGCGCGAGCGGCGCGGGGCATGCTGGGGACGCCTCTCTCTCGGGAAAAGCGCGGGACGCACAAAAGTACGGGTCCCGGGAGGTTGGTCGCGCCCCGGGCTCCCAGACGCGGTGGTGGCTCAGGTACCGACGGGGCCCTGCAGGAGGCCGAGCGTCCATGTAAATAGTCGCTTCCCTGAGCACCGGGGGCCACAGTTCCCCGCCTCCCACCCCCCTGCGCCACGTGACCTGCAGGGGTTCCCGTCCCAAGTCCGGTACCACGGGGTCATAGTAGCCCCCACTTTAAAGGGTGTGGGGAATTAACGAGAAATGCCCATGCAGAGGGGTTAATAAAGAGTTTGGCCCCGGCGGTGGTGGCGCGCGCCTTTAATCCCAGCTCGCGTGGAGGCAGAGGCAGGCGGATCTCGGTGAGTTCGAGGCCAGCCTGGGCTACCAAGTGAGTTCCAGGACTACACAGAGAAACCCTGTCTCGAAAAACAAAACAACAACAAAGTTTTGTATATAGGTGCCGGTGTTTAAGTGTAGAGTAAGATTTGTGAATTTGGTTTTGGGGTGTGTGTGTGTGTGTGTGTGTGTG